TCGAAACGTTCGAATTTTTCGAACTTCAGATTCAAAGAAATTCGAAATCTTTGAATTTTTCAAACTTTAGATCCCAAGAAATTCAAAACATTCGAATCTTTCGAATTTCAAATGAGGAAAGTTCAAAATCTTTGAATTTGTCGACCCTCAAGTAAAAGAATATTCAAAATAATCGAACCCAAACTTTTAGAAACCGTGAAAGCTTCTAACTTTTCGAATTCGAAACTCCACAGTGTTTGAAAGTTCCTAACTTTTTGAATTCGAATCTCGGTACGGTCGGAAATATCAAAATCTTTCGAATTCGAATCTCAGTTCGGTTTGAAAATATTGAAACCTTTCGAATTCGAACCTAGGGCGGTTGACGGCATCCCTATTTTTCAGTATCTTTGAGCAGGTAGTGTCAGGGCCAGGGGCGGAAGAAATCTTCAGCTTATCTTTAAGCTTCGAAATACCAGCTGCAGTGACAGTGATTGGTGGCATGCGAGGAAGTTCAAGGGAAGAAAGGTTAGGGATGTTATCTGGTGACTCAGTTGTGAAAACACAGGAAAAATAAGCATTCAGTAAATATCGGGCAAGTTCGTCAGGCATGACGACAATACCGTCTATTAGTTGAATCGACTGGGTTCTGGAGTTTGGTGTAATTGTTTCCCAAAACTTATTTGGGTTTTTTCGAAGAATGTTGAGCAAATCTTGATGAAAATACATCCTCCTTGAAGTTTGAATCAATGCAGTGTACTCTTTTAGGCAGAAGAAGTACTTATCCCACACAACTCAGGAGCCACTAGCTTTCACTTTTCGAAAAAAGCGTTTCTTTTTTATATCAATCGATTTGAGTTTTTTGTTGTACCATGGTTGCCCAACATCCCCATGAACTCGCAGCAGGGGAACATAGAAATTGATGAGGTCAATTAACTTTAGCTTAAAAATTAGCCAATTGTCCTTAACGGTCTGTGAAGGATAGGAGGAGAGGAAAACATAAAAAAAAGATGGTGAGCTCCTTATTAATGCCGTCATTATTAGCTCTGTCAAAATTGCAGATGATTTTAGACACAGGTGCCTTAACTATAACAGGCAAAGTTATCAATATATTTATTATTCTATGGTCGCTAAAGCCGGACATAAAACAGTTGATTGCACGAGATCAGGTGACGATGCAAGAACTAGATCAAGGATATTTTCGTCACGGGTATTCATACCGATCCCTTGACTGAGATGAAACATCATGCATACGTTGACGAGCTGCTGGGAGTCTCGTGATGTTGCTAGTACCTGCCAATCAATTTCAGGAAAATTGAACTCATAAAACAGTAACAGAATCGCTTTGGGGAAACGTTTCTTGATCACATTTAAAGCAGTATGTAATTTATTGAAAAACGTACTGTCACTACCAGGAGTCGATAGCGCACAGCAAGCAGTGTTTTACTAAATTTTGAAGAAACACAAACACAACAAAATTCGAGGTCACACTTCAGCTAAACGCAAAAGGAAGACAGTTCTTTTTTCATACGACCACCACGCCGCCGGAGTTGGTTGCATCGATACACCGAGAAATTCGTGTTCAAATAAAACAGTTTGTCGTCACTGACGTCCAGCTTTAACCAAGTTTCCGTAAACATAGCTACGCCAGAGTTGCTATTGCCGAGAAGGCCGAGTATTTCATATTTTTTTGGCAGGAAACTTCATACATTTGTAAAGGTAGCAAGGTGAGACTTCAACTTCTTGGCTTTGCTTCGACAATAGGTTAATGACGGGTCTCCCGTTCCCATTTAGTTATGTGACAAGCTCCTTTACACAGCCATTAACCGGATTGTAAAGGCCCGTTCACACTCTTGCGACCGACTTCAACCGAGTGCGCTAAAACTTCTTGAAACCTCTTACAACCTCTTAGGACGACAGTTGCTATAGCAACCACTGCGTTTTGCTACGACCAGCTAAATATTTTGTTCACGTCGTACGTAGTCGCGTCGACAACCAATAGCAGAACGCTAAAAGGGCTCGGCTTCAGCCACTAGCAATCGACATAGTCAGGCAACACTGGATGATGCGACGGTGCTCGCTTCTCGTCCCAACATGGCTGCTCCGGCAAGTAGCTCACCCCTGGCCCCGATCTCGCCGGACTGGCCCGATTCCGGCAGTTCCGGCAACACACTGCGGACACTGTTCCTGCAGTGTGTTGATGCATATGTAGCGGAAACAGGGAACGACGTGGACTGGGTACTTGTGGCACGAGCGTCCGCAGCGATGTGCCTGCGTTCCCGACGGAGGGAGCCACGCGAGTGGATTCGCTTTCTGCTCCGGTCCCGGGCAACGCACGGTGAATTCCACCAGCTTGTCCGGCACATGCGCCTCGACGACGGAAGCGACTTCTTCCGATACTTCCGCATGACGCCGCAAAGGTGGGTACTTAACTCTCCTTAAACATAAACAGTCACAAAAAAGATACGTTTGGATGTTCGATCGTCTCGGTGGCTCTGAGGCAAAGGGCCGCCCTTTGCTTATGATTCGCCAGTTGGCGGGTTCGAGTCCCGCCCGTGGTGCCCACTGTGTAATCGAGAAAGAAAGTGCTCGAAATTGTTCCATGACTGGGGCGTGCCATGTAATCTACTGTAAAATAGTTTGTTGTTGGGCAAAATGGTGAACGTGCGCTCGTGTTTGTTTCTCTCTCTTGCGTCCGTCTTTTTTTGCGCAAAACCATGTATCCAAACATGCAACCTAATTCGTTGATTTGGTTCGTAAAACACCCGAGTTTTTACCTTTTTCGACCATGTGCAATTACTTCAGTATGGCTGGGTTACGTTCATATAACCAGTTTTTCTTCTATCACTTTTGAAGAAAAGATTGAGAAAAAAAACAACATTGGCAGGTCATTTTTGGTCACTTTCAGTAGACTCCTGTCAGCTGTGTTCGACAAATTCTAAAGTGCACAAGTTTGTCTGCTTTGATTTCATTGTACCGAGAGGAGAAGACCAAATTACAAAATAGTGTTTTACAGGCTGTTCCTGCAATTGTTAATTTCAGTGGCTCACTTCTTAAGAATAGCTTCCCACAGTATTGAACAAATTGCTTTTGAGTACAAACATTAATAACCACTTTGTCTACAGATTTGACCACCTGCTCTCCTTGGTGGGGCCTCTTCTGCAGAAAAAGGCGACTTTCTTCAGGGAGCCCATAAGCCCTGCAGAACGTTTGTCGTTCACAATCCGGTAAGTTGAAGAACCTCTCAAATAACCTTGCCATAAGCCAACTTAAAAAAGTGTACATGTATGGGAATTCCGAGGCAGTCCTATTTATGCCAAAGTAAAGCAGCTATTATACATCCTATATCTCTCACAGCATTCTCTGGGTAGGCCTTCATGACATTCAGTTATTCACGGTCTGTCTACTGAAGTGACTAATCGCTACCTCGCTGACTCCGAGGCAAAGCACCGGCCTACGGATAGCCAGGTGACGGGTTTGTATCTTAGCTGAGGTGCCCGTAATCTGACAGAGGCTTATTGCGGAGAGGGTGCCGTGTAATTGAGCTTTCGGTTGAACGTCAAAAGATCCCTAGGTGGTCCACATTAATCCTCGGTGCTCTGCTGGGGCGTGCCAGGTGCCCGTCGTTGGTGTGACACGTAAAACCCCCGAGACTTTTTTAAGTGACTAATGCCATGCAAAATGCCTGACAAAGAGAGCAAAGACAGTGTGCCAAGGAAGTGAGGGAAAGGAGGAGACGAGGGCGCGCAGGGACTTAAAAACGCAGAGCTCTCATTGAAACGATTAGTGGGTAGACTGAAAGCTAGCAACCGTTGTCTGCATTGCACTCATCAAACACGTTCGAACGCCGGCGTCTGGTGTTTGGCTTTCGCATTCGAACACACGAGTGCAGTGGAGATAAAGGCGGCCTTTGTATCCGCTGCAGTGTCGAACGCGTGAAAACGTGGAACGCAGGCGTCTGGTGTTTGGCTCTTGCATTTGAAGGGGTTCGACTAGTGCAGTGGAGACAAGGGCAGCCTTTGTCTCCACTGCACTCGTCGAGCGCTTTAAAACGTGGAACGTAGGCGTCTGGCACTTTGCTCTCACATTCGAGTGGGTTCGATGAGTGCAATAAGACAATGGCTGCTAGCTCTCGGCAACCCACTAATCATTCCAATCAGCGCTCGGCGTGCAAGGCCATCTTGACACTTTTCCGTGAGGAGACTCCTAGCGTGGGGGATCAGTGGCCGAATGTGTTAATGCACCCTGACTCCAAGCAGGTAGAGCGAAAGGTCCATGCTGAGGGATCCAGGCAGCCTGGCCTAAATCCCCACGCCTACCCGTTTCAATCTGAATGAGCATCGTATTGGTGTTTGCTCGTGTCACCACTGCACGGTGTATATTACGGCTAGCATCCATACTACACTGGCTTAATTTATTTGCAATATAAAAAAGGTTCCATGTTTTCAGAGTTCTTCTTTATCAAATTGGGGGTGTATTTTTGGGGTTTATTTTCCCCACGGATTGGTTGTTTTTCAACGACAGTGTTGAATAAATATGCACGCAACCCGAATACTTGAAAACTCCCAAGGACCAAAATTGAAGGAAATGGAATAAGGTCTGTGGTTCCTGAGAAAGAAGCAGGCAGTTTACTAATAGCCCTCTTCTAGATCAGCACAAAATAAAGCTGTACATAATAAATTTGTTCCCGTGAAGCTTGGGCTCTTGTAATTCAAGGACAGCTCGAAATCAGTTTTTCAGTTTTCCCAGATTTTGACAAAACTGACTCGGGTTTATTTTTCTAGGTTTTATTGGTATTTACTGAAAGCATGGAACCCTGATTGTAACCTACTGTCATCAGATTTCAAAGGTAGAACATCCTTTAACTGTCTACATACAAACATCTCATTTACATTATTTTGAGTCCCACTCATCTTTTATATCACTCTTTTTGTTCTCTGTTGCTCCAAGCATTGACTGTTTCTGTTGCTCGTCTATTAACACATGTATCATCGTGACCCACAACTTTAACATTTTACGTGCCTGGCTCATGGATCTTCTCAGCAGCTGGCATCCATGTGCTACAGGATCGGGCGATCGACAGCAAGCAACATCCTACGGGAGACGTGCTGGGCACTGCACCATATACTGGACCCATTGTACCGCCCGGTGAGTATGTCAGTATTGCTGTTATGTCCGGACCTAACGTCACACAGCGTCGGCTCATTCAGTTGTTTCCAGCCGAGGCGGGCTGTTCATCCATGTAGAACATAACGGCGCTTTGCTGATGAGTGTGCAGGCTGCTCCGAAGTCAACCTTGAAGTTCAAGCACCTGTTGTCAACTGATACGTCCACTGTGAAGTTCAGCACATTGGTAGTATTTGCACGGTGTTCAGCTCGTACAGTCTTGACGTAGCCAGTGAGGGAGGGTGCATGACAATTGTGGCACACTTGTCTGCAGCTGGTGCTGTTATAGATAGATGCTGTGATTTGTGTGCGGATGTTTCGTATTCTTCCGCTTCTTGATGCATGCCTTGACAATGTGTCTGCATTTCTTGCAATAATTGCAACATGCTGCCTCAAATTTGTAAGTGTCTGGAGTGTGCTGCGCATTGCATCGCCAGCAGTGCTGAGCGTTCTAATATAGTTTGTCTGGTTATTTCAGCGATCCTGGTTCTGCATTTTGTAGCCACTTGTACTTCGTTGTGCACTTCCTTGAATTAAGCTTGCCTCTTTTTCTAGCCTTCCCGCGGCATTCTCCAGCTGCTTGCAGGGCAAAGTTGTAGCCAAGTACGAGCTGCCATTACTGCCCCATTTCTGTTTCCCAGAAATGCTGACCACTGGGACTTTTGATGACAAGGAGCGAACCCACAAAAAGCCTCCATTAGTGACAGAAGCACAATGGTGTTTATGCTCCATCGTACAAGTTATGTGCTGCAATACACTTCCTCCACCCCTAAGCTGGCAGTATGGTGGGAGCTACATGCTTGCCAGAAAAATCAACTGCCACCCTTTCGTCTTCTGACCGCTATCTCTGCTCGTGGCCAGAGAAGGGAGCGTGATCATGCGACGAAAGGTAGACGCACGACTAGTCAATTGAGCAGGTGGCTTCTAGTGCCTTGTCAACTTAGGAGTTAAAGAAGTAAATCAGACACAGGCTAGGTCTTGCTAATTAACCATTTATACAGAAGCTTCAATTCCCTGTGCAGCAAAAGCCCTATCTTAAGCCAATATCTCATGGCTGTGATCTTAATGCTTCACAAAACTCTTGAAGATGCAACAAACACAGACAACAACCTCTTGTGCAACCACAGTGATGAAGTGAAGTGAATAAAATAAAGAAGGTAAAGTGAAAGACAGTTATGACTGCATCTCTTTACCAGAAATTAATGCCGTGGCTTGTGCTGTTTATGAATACTTTGGATTTGACGTTCTCTGTGTAAAGCGTACACTCCCTGTAAACTCTCAACTGCAAATAATTGCGACCAATGCAACATTACGGCTGTTTCCCAAATCCAACTCGAATGGGATCAGAGTTACTGCAGCAGATCATGTCACGGGACAAGACAGATAAAGAAACGCTGGACGCGTTTAGGTTTTCAAACAGCAGGTACAGAACCTTTACCCTAGAGTGAGATTGAGTCAATTTGGGAACACGGACTATGAGTGCTGTGCTAGGATCACTTGAAAAAACATCTTAGTATTCATGGCACTCATGCCTTCTTACGAAAAGAAACTGTAAATGGTGTAACATATGACACTTCTGGATTTGAGGTGTTTGGTATGTCTTGGTGGTGTTTGTGTGATTCTGGCTAAGACTTGGTCAACTGTTGTTCTAGGCCCCCGACACTGCCCAGTGGGAGCGGATCGCAGCAGAGTTCGGCAGGCTGTGCAATTTCCCAAACTGTGTCGGAGCCCTGGACGGCAAGCACGTGGCCATCCAGGCCCTGTCCGGTGCGGGCTCCGACACCTTCAACTACAAGGGGTTCCACAGCACTGTACTCATGGCCAGCTGCGATGCCACTTACAAGTTCACTCTCGTAGACGTTGGGCAGCCGGGGCAATTTAGTGACGGGGGAGTGTTCAGAGAGTCTGAAATGGGGCGGTCTATGCTAACGGGGGAACTTGGTCTCCCGCCAGCTGGGCTCCTACTCCAAACAGAAACCAAGCTGCCTTTTGTATTCGTGGGCGATGAGGCGTTCCCCCTGCTCCCTAACCTCATGCGCCCTTTTCCCAGGAGAGAACTGCAGTTACTCTCTCGAGTGTTTAACTACAGACTCTCCAGGGCAAGGAGGATCATTGAGAATGCCTTTGGCATCTTGGTGGCGAGGTGGCGCATTTTCAGACAACCAATCCAGGCTTCTGAGAAAACCCTGGAGGCCGTTGTTTGGGCATGCATCAACTTGCACAACTACTTGAGGGTGTGTGATGAGAGTGAGCAGGGACATTGCCGCTACTGCCCTCAAAACTACGCTGACCACGAGACCCCTTTGGGTGGCGTGGTGAGCGGTGGCTGGAGAGCTGATGTAAATGATGGCACTGCCCTGTCAGATGTAGGTTGCATCAGCTCGACTGTGCCTGGCGACAGGGCTAAAGCGGTGAGGGACGCCTTCAGCAGGTACTTCTGCTCTCTCACTGGTGAAGTGCCTTGGCAGTACAGTGTAGTGTTCAGGGGCTCAGCACCCAACGCTTAAAGGGACAATGCAACAATTTTAGGTTCGAAAGAATTTGCAGTTCTTAATTTTTACATTACCTTACCACGAGGTATAGAGAAACCACCTTTCTTGTAAAATATCGCAATTCCATTGTGTATTAGCAAATAAACAAACAAGGAACATTTTACTATTTACAGCTGCAAGTGGCGGCCATGGGAGCTATGGCATGACACCAACCTCGGTGCATTGTAATAACTTGGCAAGATGTGCTACTATGTGCTCAATATCTAATGCTATCTTTCATAAATATTGTCGTTTCAACATGAGTAAATGTCTGCAAATCCTCATATCATTGAAAAAACGGCACTATATTCAGTTCTATGTCACTTTTTTATTTTTATTTTAAACAAACTTACGCGCAGAAGCAAACTTGGTTTTCAGCTCCTTTGCTCCACACAGGACAGGGAAAACTACCACAATTATTTGATTGAAGTCCAAAAATTGTTGCACGGCCCCTTTCACTCTTTCGGTAACATTCCCCAGTCTTTTAAACATTGTAAATTGAATACATATAGGGTCCTTGCACTTGATGCCATTATAGTTGGAAATCCTAGCGGCATATTAAAGGGCCACTCCGCTTCATATTTGTTTTTGAAAAACCAATGCAGTCCTCTTCAGTATCACCTAGGAAGACCACACGTCAAATATTACGACGTAGTTCTCTAAATGTTCCTTAAAGGGTGCGGCAAACTTAGCAACTCGCCAAGTTGCCGAAATTGGCCGACTCGAGCGGGCGAATTGAGGCGCAACCAACAGCGTAGCCAACTTTGAGCTAAACGTCATTACCATTGCCCCCAGTTTTTACTTCTCCGGGCAAGCGTAATGTGTAACGTCAGCAACGTTTCTTCTTAGCGCTAAGCGGTGCCCGCATGATTGGTGTAATGCGCCTGCGCAACACGTTTCTTGGGAGCCGTCTGGTCGCCTCGCCGTTACCGCCATCTCTCGCGTCTCAACCACCCTCGTCGTCTCCCTGTTTGTGATTATTGTCTCTCGCAATTTAGTCCACACTACAGCCACTACGTGTGCAGACTTATGCCGTAGTTGGGCAGACGTCGTTGAATGCTGTAAACACCAAAACTTGGTGAAGATTGTGGTACAGACGACACTTGCGCCTGACACAGGCCCGCCCCAATTCCAATCCTGCCCGTTGTCGTGTAGAGGATCACGGGACATGTTGTACCATGTGATAGCCATGTTCTTGGCGGCCCGAGGCCAATGTTGCCAAACGGAGCCGAAGTTTCGGTTTCAATTTTTGCTCGTGTTTAAAATGGGACTTTAAAATATATATTCCATTTTTCACAATGCAAATGATGTAGTGTTTTTTACTAGGGCTTTTTAATGCGAAATCACTCATCATGTCAAAGTATTTGAAATCAAGCGGAGTTGCCCTTTAGAGAAAAATGATGAAGTCTAATGTTAATAAGCCGTCTGCGGTATTGCTGGTCACACATTGTACCATTTTCCCTATTCATTTTGAATGTAAGCAATTCTTTGCTAACGTCATCCTAGATCCCAGACTAACTTTGTTTTTGTTTTTCTGAGCTGCCTCAGTGGGCTTGACGGTGACTGCAGAAGCCATTTCAGTAAGCAAAACCAAAGTCTTGAGGCTTGTCTTAGGTTTGAGTGAAGACCGGTACGTATAAAAATTGAGCACCAGCGACTTGTGCGGCTGGCACAGTTAATTGTGACGCAAAGAACTAGCGTTCTGGAAAACAGTGCCTTTGCACATAAAAAGGCATAAAACAAAAGCAGACGAAAGTGAACATGGATTCCAACAAGATTTCAAGCCAGGAATATTCTTTCATCATGGTCTCGTGCAAGGACCCTAAGAAAATCTTAGTGACACTAAAAAAAAAGTATGTTGGTTATATTTCTCCATTTCAAGTTTGTTGGATGCTTTCTCTCCTCTTGCCTGTAATGCAATTTTTTTAATTGTGTAAGCATAACAAAACTTTTTTTTTCTCTTTACTTTGGGAGGCAAGCACTTGTCAAGCAAGAAACTAATTGTTCTTCTGCTTTCTCTCCAAATTAATTAAATTGTGATTTCCTACCTGTGACTTGGAATCAATTCTACAATTGCAATGTGTCCATTTTTGATAGCCTCTTGGATTGAGCAGTCTGGATCGGTGAAGGATCACAGAATGTTTTGTTCAGTTTACACTTAAATTTAAGGGTAACTCTGGTTAATTACGAAGATTTTCAGTCAATGGTTGATTAGATGTCAAACCTTATCTCACAACTGCTCCCCATTGAAATATTTTCATGCAATCTTCGTTTGAAGTTTACCACAAACCTACCCTGAGCCGTGAACTCGGACGATGCAGAAGTAACAATGCCTGCCTGCGGCAGGCATTGTTACTTTTGCATCATCACAGGCATGGTTTACCACTACAAACTGCAACGTTATGTGGGTGGCAGGCCGCTGTGCAAGGGTGCGTGTTTTCTGCTCTATCTGCAGTCAGTTACATCCGACGATGCTTGATGGACTGTCTTGGCAACTGCGTTTTGATCAGGAGGCTTGGTCAGAGAACTGATATTATTCTACGTCGGTGTGGTGTTACTTTTTTCCCCGTGTGCAAATAGAAATTTAAGAAAACGAATAACTGACTTGTTCAAACTGGTTTTATTTGAGGAATATCCCAGGTTTCCCAATTAGCAATGTATGCGTCATCTCTTAACACAGACCCCTTTATTATGAGAACACTTTGGGAGACAAACTGGGTAAATACATGCATTTTTGTCTCATTATTATAAATAACTCACACTATGGACATTTTGCTTTGGGAATGGAGGTGTGCATTAACGAGACATCACTGTATATCACACGACTTGAAGTAAACAAACGTCATAAGTCGTAGCACTAATTCATTATTTTGACATCTCCAACTTGGGACTTCAAATCGAAAGTAGCCGGGGAAAATGTCACCTTGCTTGCAATAGACGTTGCAGTTCAACACACCTTTCTGGCCACAAATGTCCACTGCCGCTTTTATGACCTTTTAAGTTATGGGCAATGCAAAGAAACTCAAAATACAACTCGGGTATCAGGCAGCACGTGACATTTGCTTGGTTGTGGAAAACATTACAGAATGCTCTCGCGTTCTGTAATGTTTTGGATTTGATTCTCGTGTCACAAAATTTGCAGTCAATTGCATGACACTTGCTGTAGGAAGATGCATGTCTCTCGTACAACCACAATGCAGATTGCTATATGGTAATTTTTTAATTGGTGTGTTGGAACCTCGGTTGCTTGTTTGCACCAGTCAATGTCAAGGAGACAATGCTTGCAATTGCAACACTTTATTGAACATCACTATCATTTCGTAAGCAACCCACATTCATTATGCATGTTATACAGAAACCAAAAATAAAATCTAGGTTAAACAGCAAACCCCATCTTCAAATCGTCGCAAAGCGAGACTTTGCGACGATTTGAAGATGCGCTCGCACGGTGTGGAAGCCTAGAGGCACAAAAATTGTTCAAAACTCTCAGTGCTTTGCACTTTCCATTTGTTATGTAGTTTATATACGCACTTACTTTTGCTATGTGCAGCCAAGATGAAAGAATATCCAGCTCGTTTTTGTTGGGCATTCAAAACTTTAAGTGAGACACGTGCCGAAATGACATGCAAGAGTTGAGAACATTGCCACCAGATGTGTCATGTCTGAAAGGGTCAAATGTCGTGCCAGTCGAGCACACCCACACTATACAAGACCTTTCCAGCGCCATGTAGGACCAAAACTTCTCGGACATGCGACACAGCGACATGGGACCGTCAACACTGATACCTCAGTCGGAAACTAAACCAAACAAAATGGCTACCACCCTACTATCCCTGCGACAGCTGCATTGACGGGGGATGTCAAAATAATTTTTTAGATATGTTGGCGGTGGACGTCGAAATAGTCAATACCTTATATTATTTCATCTGCAATAAATACACTAAAACCATGACATAAACTAAACAACGAGCAAAATAACACATCAATATATTTTATGCACAAGTAAAGATAATAATGCATCACAGGTGGACATACCAATATATTCCTATCATGACATGCAATAAAAAATATTAAAAATGAATTTTTTGCTAACTGCACAGGTCAAAACAGAATGCATAACAAAATAATGCATCAATGCAACATTATAATCAAGAAATCAAATAAACAATGAGTAAAATAAAACATCTATGCATTTTAGGCTATACAACATTCAAGGTACACAAAATCTCACTATCTTTTTTTTTTTTTTTTTGTTTCAGTGTATGCTTAAAGGCAGGAAGTACTTGGTATTGATCTTGCTGACTTGTAAAGGCCCGTTCACACAATTGCAACCAACTACGACCGACTGAGACAAGATCGGTTTTTAAGCCTCTTGCGCGACGGCTTACAAGCGGATGCACTGCTGCGGAGCCTGTTGGAAGTCGTCGCAGCAAGAAGCTTAAAAACCAGTCTCGTCTCAGTCGGTCGTAGTCAAACACAAAAGTGTGAACGGGCCTTTATCAGTTGTAGGTGCTTTTGGGGGAGGGGCTTGGGATGGCCCACTCAGCAGAGTGGCACTTGCCGCTGAAAGTAGAAAGCAGCCGCCCCTTCTGCCGGCATGCTGCTTCCGTATTCCCCAGACACAGTTGCCTAGTTTGCTGAGCCCTTGTCGGTTCCGATAAGCCTTGCTGTTAGCTCGAACCTGACTTTATAACCAATTTTTCCAGGAGCAAGGAGTTCGAAGCCGAGCTTGCCAACCAAAGTAGACCATTTCAACAAGCTACGCCTCCATTTTCAACATACTTCGCTCCACTGCCTTTTTTAAAAATATGTTATAATCTCAAACTCGAGCAAACGGCAAGCCTCGTCAGGACCAACACGGGTTCAGCAAGCTAGGCAACCAAGTCAAAGGGGGGGGGACAAACAAAAAGAAACAGCATGCCAGCAGCAGGGGTGAACGCTTCCTACTCTCAGCGTCAACTGCTGCTCTGTTGAGTGGGCCCTCCCAAGCCCACTCCCAGTAGTAGCTGCACTTGATAACAAGCCAGCAATATCAACATCATGTTTTGTGATATCAAAGCTTATTACTGATTTTTTTATCGCTAAGGGCTTCCATCTTTAGCTCATATGCCATCTTGTGCATGTTAAGTTTAAACCGGCTTTGATAGCTAAGTGGCAAGCTCTCAACCTCGCTGATCATAAATGCCATAAATGCACTATCAGATGTGCTTATATCAGGTGAGGCCTTGTGCACACCCTGCCCATCTGACGCACAGATTCTTCAATAACTGTCGCCAGAGCCGCATCCTCTTGAGCCCTGCCCTGCGGAGAGGTGCCCTTGTGCGTTCTCTTCCTGGAGCGCAGTGGGACTGGCTGCGGGGTTTGTGGCTGCCGCTCAACAAGGGCTGGTCTTGGCGGCGACAGCAGGGTGGGGTGCGCTCCTGAAGGTGCGCACTGCGGTGGCACCAGCTGAGATGAGCTGGGCATATGATTGTTCTGCTCCAGCTGAAGGAGCAGCTGGCAGGTGGAAGACAGCTGCAGGTCATCCTGCAATGAGTCCTAGGAAGAGTGCAGCCTTGTTACTCAACCACAATGGGCAGGAACAAAAATAGAGTTGCATTAAAACGAACATTGAAACATCCACTCCAATAATATATATTGAAATTTTGTTTTTTATTAGTTGATCGTCCTCATATGCTTTCTGTAGAGGTGTGCGGAAACTTGGATTGAAACAGCCACTCCAAGAATATATCTTGAAATTTCGGTTTTCATTAGTTGAGCGTCCTCATATGCTTTCTGTACACGTGTGAGGGTATCAAATTCTTGACTGCAAACAATGATGGAAATTTAACTGCAAATCAAATTAAGATATATTACATTTCATACAAATTGAGCAGGAATAGCATAATAAAACATGGCTGGAAACCTTTGATACAAAGCATACCTATCAAGATGACAAATATCAGGGGTGGAACTCATGAAATGTACTTGGGAGCAGTCACGGGAGCAGCTGAAACAGCTGTTTTAGAGCAGGTTGGGAGCAGCTAAAACTACATTCTGGAGCAGGCTAGGAGCAGCTCAGATCAGTTTGCATTGCACTTCAGCTTGTGTCTTAGACAAGCAAGGGAGCAATTTCAATTGTGCTTAGGAGCAGAGATGAACATCGGTGGTTAGGGACCCAGGCAGATGGGATAACAGTGTAATAGATGCGAAAACTTGAAACTTTGTGAGCCTTAATGAGAATCAAAAAGCTAGTACCTGATGTTTCCGAAGATAGCGTCCTTGATATTTTCTGAGTGGCTTTCAGATGCTCAAGATGCAAACCAGCACTGCTTATCGCACAACCCGCACGTGATTGACATAGTAATTATATGTGCGAACCACGTGACGAGCGTAAACAATGGACATACAGTTGCACGGAGGAGCAGGGCAACAAATTTCGAGTTTATCCTATTGCGCAACTCGATATCGAAGCAGCAGGCTACGATTAACGAAGTTATCGTATTTGAAGCGATAAGCAGGAGCAAGGTTAAAGTACGCCGAGCAGATAAGTAGAGCTGCTGGCCGGCAAGGTAAGAGCTGCTGGCCGGAGAAGTTTCGGATCGGACCGCGTTTCAGTTCTATCGAATCACGATTTATCTTGCGAGAATGCGGTTCCAACTCCTAAGGATGAAGTACTAAAAGGAATCTTTCGCTCATTTGCTTTCGACTGGATGACGTCCGGATCCCGGGCCGCAGAGCCTCATGCAATCTGATGCTTAACGACTCGACCTCACCTCGGCCGACTTGCCCTACCGCTTATGGTTGAAGAATAACAATCCAGTCGCAGGTGGTGTAGCGCTTAGAATCCGGGTTCTTTTCGCGCGCTTCCGACTCGGGATAGACAGGGGAAATAAACACAACAAAGGATTACAAGGCCGACCAGGCTAATCGCCCTCATTGTTGCCAATCGAGTCGATAGAAACCGAAACTAAGACGAAATAAAAAGTTTTTTGGCACACGTCTTGCGATTTGGCGCATAATGGCGCGAGGTATTGGCTGTGGCGCAGTTTCTGCAACATGGCGCAGGATGGCGCAGACACATGCGTCTGGCGCAAAATGGCGCAAATGGCGCAGCCGTTCCACCCCTGAAATATTATCTGTGAAACATTTCACTGCCTGCATTAAGAAAAGGAAGGCCCAGAAAAAACAAGTTAGGTGTAACATGGCAAGTGAGGCAATGACTAGCTTATTTATTTGAATATTGCTGAAGGTTTTCTTTCTTGTCACTGCCCTTTAAATTTGGGGGTTCAACTATAATCATAACCGGCAAAGGCTGACCTGCAAAAGCGAGCAAAAATGTTGAGACCATCAAGCCAACCGAGACTCTCCGACACATGAGCCATTTATCCTCGCACACCGGTGCAAAGCAATGACGACTTCATTTCATTCCATTTATTGTTCCCTTAAAGCGCCCGTAGGGCTTTACATAAGGGGGGGCTTTGGCAGCAAACAAAAACAAACAAAGAAAGGAAAAAACAGGATTAAAGGTTGCTAAATATCGAGAAAAGTAGCAAGTGCAGCTCTGAATCCAGATGAGTCTTGAATTGTAACAATATGTTCTGGCAGAGAGTTCCATTCTGAAAGTGATAATTGCAGTGGAGAGAATTTAAAAAGGTTGGTCCTTGGTGTTACCAGATGAACTTTCTGAGAATGGTCTGTACGAGGAGAAATGTGATGAGCCGCAGGACAGTACAATTCTCTCTTTAAAGGGGCCAGATAATACAAAGCGTGCAATGAAACTAGTCTGGTCAGTTTCCTTCTTTCCGCGAGCAGTGGAAGGCCGAGTTCTTTTTTTAGCGTAGTAATGCTAGTGTGTGTATAGTTTTTAAGAATGAACCGAGTTGCCCTGCTTTGGATCGACTCTAATTTCTGAATTAGGTAAGCCTGGTGGGGGTTCCATGTTGTAGATGCATACTCGAGCTGCGGGCGAACAAGGGCAGTGTAAGCTACGAGTTTTGTCTCCCGGTTAGCCATATGTAGTGTTCGTCTCAAAAAACCGAGGCTTTGGTTTGCCTTTACAACGATCTGATTAATATGAGCTTCCCATGATAAGTTTGACGTGAAATGAACCCCGAGATATTTGTACGTGTGGACATGTTCAATGGGTGTATTAAAAAGAGAGTAGCTAAACACTGTGGCACTTCGCTTAGTGTTGAAGTTTAAGAATTTTGTTTTTAGGATGTTGATTTGCATTTGCCATTTTTTACACCATGTTTCTAGGGTAATCAGGTCATTTTGAAGTTGAATGCAATCACTAATGCAAGATATTTTCCTATACACCACACAATCATCAGCGTACAAACGGATGGTTGAAAGAATACTATCGGGTAAATCATTCACGTACAAAAGAAAGAGCAATGGACCCAGCACGGTCCCCTGCGGCACTCCCGATTTTACTTTCTGATGGGATGAAGATTTGTAATCATAACAAACACTTTGCGAGCGATTAAAAAGAAAATTCGATATCCAGTCTATCACGAATGGCTCCACTTGGAAAGCACGTAATTTTAGAACTAGTCGATGATGCGGCACCTTATCGAATGCTTTTTGGAAATCAATAAAAATTGCATGCGTCTCAGTTTTAAAATGCAGGTTACTGTGTATATCAGTTACAAATTCAAAAAGTTGGGATTCGCAAGAGTGAGACCGACGGAAGCCGTGCTGGTTTACAAAAAGTAGGCTGTTGGCTGACAGGTGATCCATGATATTTGAAAATAAAACATGTTCCATTAATTTACTCGGAACACTCGTCAGAGAGATGGGTCGATAGTTCGTGAATTCATTCTTTTGACCATTTTTAAAGACCGGGGTGACTTTTGCCCTTTTCCAATCAGCAGGTATTTGGCCACTAGTTAGGGATTGCTCAAAGATAGAACAGAGGATTGCGGAAGATTCACATTTGCTAAGCTTAAGTAGCTTCGTCGTGATATTGTCAGGACCGGGGGCAGAATTTGTTGGGAGATGTTCTATTAGTTTCTGAATTCCGCTCACAGACATAGTGATTGGGCACATTTGTGTGGCTATGTCGTAATTAGGCGAATGCTCTGGTAAGGGGAAAATATCTTCAGAAAACATCTCGCTAAAAAAACGACTGAATTCCTCGCACACTGCACCCACATCGAGCTCGTCTCCCGCAGGATTAGTGAATCGGTGAGGCTTCGACACTTGCTTAGGGTTAACCGCTTTCCAGAACTTTTTGGGGTTAGCTGTCATAAGGTTGCGGAGGTCTTCGTTGTAAAACTTGTTCTGCGCTCGACGTATCTCTGTCTTGCATACTAATTGGAATTCGTCATACTTTGTCCACGCAGAAGGGGACAAAGACAATTTAGCTGTTTGAAATAGTCTCCGCTTTTTATTCAGTAGTCGTTTAAGGCGGTTCGAAAACCAGGGTTTCTCAATAGAAGACTGTATATTTATTTTTGGAATAAACTGATCACATAGATCAAGTAGCTTTTGTTTGAATAATCTCCAGTTTTCGTGAACTGTCCTAGAGTCAAAGCCAACCATGTAAATACTTGAAAAAGATTGCAAGCTACGACAGAAGTCATCGACGTTAGCCCTGGAGTAATCATAAATAGCTTTTACCAGCGGACTGTGCTTTTGCGTAGGAAGAGCAAGTTCAACATTTAGGGAAGTGTGATCACTGAGCGGTTCCATAAAGTTTACCGAAGCTATAAAATCTGGCTCCGAAATGAATGGATGAGTGCCAGTGAAACGCAGTTAAGCTTTTCTGTTTTGCTCTGATGTGAATTGTGGAGAAGCTTGACTCCAGCTACCAATTCCGGCAGATGCATCTCTGTATATGAGTTAGTTTTAGGGGTTTACAAAAAGTTTTGTTGCTGCTTTAGTGTGTTTTTCAGAGTATTTCTGTCTCCTTTTCCTGTATAACAGACCCGTGCTCTTTAAAAGAGGGGAGGGGGTTGTCTGCATCAGGTCTACAGTGACTGGAATGCATTCTCGACTCGTGCCTATACACCAACTCATGTTTACAAACAAACCGGAGCGCCCCTAGCGGATGCCAACGACGCCGTGCATGCACGGTGGACGGTGGGCAAGAAGCTCGCCGTCGCCCATAAACAAACCATTGAATTGCGTTGTTGTCGGCGTCGCTGGGAGTCCCCGTGCTCTTTTTCGCGCTGGAATTGTTGATTCTACGTCCTCCTAACAATATCTGACTACTTGAGCGGCTTCATCAAAATTATTGAGGCAAAACTTTGCGTGAATATGTGACGTGTGGCGATTCATTTCACGTGGACGCCGCAGAATGGGCGCTAAAACCTGACTCCCGCGATGAGATTCTGCTCGCTATTTTCAGTCGCGACGTCGCACGGGCTGCAAAAGCGTGGACCGAAGCTGAGATGGTGGACGTCGATACTGAAAACCGCGAGTACAATCGGGCATTACAAGTCGGTGATGGCCACTGGTAACAATGATCAACATCTTTATCTACTGTTTACACTTAGCCTACTTACCCCAACCAACCTTCAAAAGTGTTTTGAGGCCTGCACTTAGTTCTTATCGCAATTACCGGATCAACGTTTGGTTTACGGGACGCTGTCGTTTGAACAAGCTGACGACAAAAAGCAGACAAGTTTGAAAGAGCAGACGACAGTTCGAACGCATGCGCGATGGAGTGCGGGAAAGAAGCATCACGTCCCGCGTCAACAAACCATTGGAATGTCACGTTGTCAGCATCTGCGTGAGTGTGCATAGTCTTTTTCGCATTAAAATTGTTGATTCTACGTCCTCATAGCAATGTCTTACCACTTTAATCGCCTGAGCGAAATTATGAAGGCTCATTACGCCGCTAAACTCTGTGTAAATAATTTGACGTGCGGCGATTCATTCGCATGAACGCCGCAGAATGGACGTCAAAACCATGATGAGATTCTTGTAGCTATTTTAGGTCGCGACGTCGCTCGTGCTGCAAAAGTGTAAAAGGTAGCGGCGATGATCGACGTCAATATTGAAAATCGTAAGCAGGAACAGACCAAGCGTAACAAGTCGGTGATGGCCACTGGTACCAATGATCAACATCTTGTATCTACTGTTTACACCGAGCCTACTTAAGTCTTTTGACGCCTGCAATTACTTCTTATTGCAATCACCGGGTCAAAGTTTGGTCTACGGGCCGCTTTTGTTTGAATGAGCAGACGACAAAAAGCAGACAAGTTTGAAAGAGCAGACGAAAGTTCGAACGATCAGGCGGCCGTGTGATTTTGAAGACGCACTGAGCCCGTGGGTGGTCCGGACAACTTGGTGGTTTTCTCTCAATCATGTTAGAACAAAACAAATGCATCTGGCGACCACAAAGTGTTGTCTGCACAAGCAATCGTAGTTCGACAGCGTCTGGTTTGCCCTTTTCACGGCTACTATCCACGTTCTCGGACGAACGGAGGGGGCAGAAACACATGAAAACTAATCTTCAAACCTCTCCAGACTCTCTTGGTACAGCCCCCGTCGCAGCATTTTGACGAGAAGGCAGGTTTTCTGTCTGGTTTCTTCCAAAAAATCACAGGAATGCATGTCTGGCACGGCGACTTCTGCCCACCGCCCCAGACCGGAAGTGCGCCCGACGCGCCACCACCGCGGCGTGACGTAGGAGAGTTGAGTTTGTGTATAGTGTCCTACACAACTCACGCATTGAAGGTGGTTCCAAGGTTGGAGGGAATAAATCGCATCATAAGAGTTGGTACGTCATGCTGTCAGACACTGCGATACTGACGGTCTCTTGTAGAAGTGTTCTGGCACAAGAGACGAGGTTAATGTAAGCGCCACTGTCATCACAGCATCCCAACTTGTTGCTGTAGAAGCCTCTTTGTACTGGGAAACTGAGACTGAGCAACAGCATGACACTTCTATGACGTCATCAGGCTGAAATTGACGGACCACATTGGAAGACGCAGTAAACACGCTTCTCAGAAACACTCTCCAGGTACTATAGTCACGTTTATTAAGTGCCATGGCAGTGTCTGTGCCTGGATGAGTAGTAGCTCGGTCCCTTCCGTACGCGTAAGTATTGGTTGAAGGCTCAGCTTTGTCTGGTGTAGTCGAGACGTGCTCGTCATGGAAAGCATTTCGTGCTGGTTGCCTTTCCCCAAGATTACATACTTAGTCCTCTCAGCTGACAGATTGAGTCGGACACTTTTGAGATGTCATTTTGTAGCTACTAAACGGGGAGTATTCCTGTGGCCCACATCCCATTCAGCCAGGCAAGGATCGTCTCTAGCCTCCTGTTGGGTGAGTTTTAATAAACATTTTGTTTGGCGCATTATGGCCTCAGTTGCTGCTGCGCCATTAAAACCTTAATCTTACTTACTTACTCCTGTTGGGTGTTGCATAGCATGTTTGCGTTGATGCCATCCAGGCAGGGTGCACTCAATTTTTTTATGACCTGTCCATCCGTATGGGTCCGTGTTCATGACTGGGCGTGAGGCGTCGCAGACCTAAGGACTTCGGACATGCTTGACGGTCTAAGACCCTTTTATCTCAGTCCTGGAATATTTTATTCTCTTTATGTCACTTCCAAGCAAAGCAGCATAAGGTCACAAATGACAGGCAGAGAGATGGTTAGTGCAGTAGCAAACTAAATGTTGAATAGAGGCGAACTTGTGCCCAAGACAAGAAATACAAAAAGGTGGCGTTGAAGGTCGGCAGTGTAGCACGATCGAGCGCAAGAGCGAGACTGCCTCCGGTGCTCCCGACCTTTCTGCTCCCTAATCCCTTTGCATTGCTTCACACAACCTACATTACTAATGGTGCACTAGCGAATGAAGAATGCATCGCTGAAAGACTAAAAAATAAACTAATTATTAATGCAATGAATGCATAAAACATCAAATCCCACTCCTCCTGCATTTGATTCTTGCCCCAAATAAAATAGACCTTTTGGCAAGAGGTATTGCTATTTTCCTGTATTTAGCACGCACAATCTTGCCCAGAGCAACTAGCATGCACTCGCTGAACTGTCCTTTTTCCCTAACAGCCAGTTTTTTTTTGAAAACAGTGAATACCAGTGGCACTCATGTGCATACTGTATCTGCACTCCTGTGTAGGTGGCAGTCAGAAATGCTGAACTTTTGATCTGAAAATATTGAAACACCACACACTTGCCCTGTTGGCAAGTACAGAAATTAAAATAGAGATCTTGTGACTTACACTGGTGTCCGTGTCGGGGATCTCCTTGTCCGTTGCCTCAGGACACTCATCTGGGTCTGGAATAGGAGTGTAAGCTCTCATGAGGAGCTCTGCAAATTAAAAGGCTTGGCTTAAAAATTAAGCATTCAAAATATTTCATCAGAGTGATTGCCCAACATGCTCAAGATGAATCAACACACGTCTGTGACAAATGAGGTTTGAACTCAATATATGCTCACGCTACTGTCCAAAATGTTTTTAGTTATAATCCCTTTACAATTTTAACAGGCAAACTCCTCGGCTTAGCAGTCATACAGCAACATGTCCCTCTACAACATTGAAGCATTGCCAATGTACACTCTAGGCTAACCTCCCATAGTGCTGGATCTACAGGCTGCAGCTGTAAGTACTGACATGTGGGGCAGGCTGCCTTTTTTGCTCCATTTTTAATATTTTACCACCTCCAAGTTGAGCTCTAAAAAAAAGGACATAAAGCATCTCGCAAAATTATGTTTGTGTGCCCAATTTTAAGCATGTATGTTTGTAATTTGAATTTTGCAAGGCATGCCAAATCTGTTAGTCTTTACTGGCGACCCTGTATGTACGACCACCCTGTTTTTTTCCGTAACTTTAGTTTGACTAATGAGCACTAGAGATTTTAGCATAGGGCCTACAAAAAGCAGAATGTTGCCTGAAAGGAAACTTGCCTGTAGGTGTCACTGGCGACAATCCCCCGCTTGCCTCGGGTGCCACCACTAGATTTGCCTGTTCCAAGGCCATTTGTGGCTTTTTTGAGCTGAAAGGAAGTATGAGCATGTTACGCTCGCAAAAGAAAATAAAGTTTATTTATAGTCTAATAATATAATATGCATAGTACGCTCTGGGGTGGATCTGGTGCTTGAGGAAGCTCAGCAAGTTCCAGAGCGTCCAGCTTGGCTGCCGGATGTCGTCCCGGCCAGCCCCGCTTCGGCCCATACAGATTCTGGCCTCCCGACCATACCTGCCTCGTATGGCCTGCCATGCACGTTTGCATTCATCTGCACTGCGCTCTGCAGTCAAAAAACCAAATATTTACAAATTAAGGCAATTACCTTTTGAAAAACGTTCTAGCCCATAACGAAAGGAAAGAAGACTTGTGTTAGTTCGAGTCACAATGGTACAAGTCATAAAAATCTTACTAATTTTCTTCCCATATGATTTCACTGGGTCCGTTATTCATTTTCCATAATTTTGTGGGGGAGGTTTGGCTGTTCCTTGATGATGTGGGGACCGCATAAATCTTTCAACATGCACTAAGTCTGGCTCAGAGGCAATAAATTATGTTTAGAATGTACTCACTGTTTAACATTTGTAAGCCGGCTCAAGTGCTTTAAATAGGGTGACCCAAGTCACCAGGCTCGATCTAAAATACACCGTAAAAATCGACGCCTGCACGTCGTAATCTACATTTTTCGTCAAAAGTGTATTTCACAGGTCGGTCTTTTCTTGTAAAATTAGAAAGCGAAGCTATCTTTCTGTAAAAAAATAGGGCCAAGAAACTTGCCAGGGTCAACGGCGGGCGGCGACGCAGACCAAGTCGAATAGCCGGGCGGGTTTGGCGCTTGTATTGATAGATGGCGCTACCTCCTTAATGAGACTGCTCACGACTACCATGGTTTATTAAATGAACATAATCTTTTTGTAATGTACCTCAGGTATGTCTTTTATAGCCTCTTCAAGGTACCGGGCATTCATGGGTGCTTCAGCTCGAACAATGCCCACACTTGTGTCCCGAGAAAACAAATGCCCATCAGTTTTTCATCTATGCAGGTATTCTCTACAAACAACCTTTCGTTGCATGCTACAGCATGGCACAGATTTAACAACAAAAATTTAGCAGCTGGCTGCAACGGACAAGTTGCCTTGAAACAGATTCCCAATACTATTACGGCTAACCTAGAGTGCACTATAATTTTTTCCATCTTTTTGTGCGTGATGAAATTCTGATGAGCATGTGACGTACAGGAAAACTCGGAACAGACTATTCTACAAGAATAGTGTTTTCTTTATGCTAGCGCTTGTTAAAACTTCTCGGTCAGTGTATTTAACAATGACGTGACAATTCACTTGACAACGCACTCGATCGCTAGTTCGTTATTTGCTTCAGTTTTAAAGTATGCCCTTACATTGTGTGCGTACGATAGACTTCGGCGATCGACGATAGGATTCGGCTACCAAAATCTCTGGCTTCGAGCGCCTAGCTGATCTAGCTTTCAATAAGAGGTGTGCCGCTTCAGCAGCGGGAGCATTTGCACCCAGCTTTCAGATCAGACCGCGAGATTGAAAGACGGGGGAAAGTGTCTGGCTGGAGTGATTCCTGCGAGTCTGAGCAATTAGCTGATCTAGCTTTGAATAAGAGCTGTGCCGCTCAAGCAGCGGGAGCATTTGTGCCCAGCTTTCGATTCAGACCGTGAAAGTTAAAGGATGGAGGATCGCAGCGAGCGTCACCGACCGCGACCATCTGTATCTCAACAGTATGTAGCGGCCCGTGCGCCTCGAATATACACACATGCAGAGGTGCCGTAGTGCTAATACACTGTTTTCACGCGTTGAACAAACGGTGCACATGAACTAGCTTGATGATCTCTGGTCACCTGTTCACAGTAAAAATCTGGAATACGCTCGCGCGGGGATCCAGCTGCCGTGCTCGCTATATGTACCTCTCTCAAAACAAACGTTGAGAAATGAATACTTACTTAGGAGGTTGCCGATGGTCTTCCAGGAATTCTCCCGCTTTATCTTGTCACGATAATCGTGTCCGGATGTATCCCATAGCCATGGGAACTGCTCAACTTTTTCAATAAGTGCTGCCTCAAAACAAGAACTAAACTCGTCGGCCATCTTCGAGGGAACGGGAGTCGGGACAGACGGGATGAAGAAAAAGGTAGGAGGAGCCACATTCTTTTTTTTTTTTTTTTTGTCGACTCCTTATTGGTTTGTCGGAGGGCCGCTTGCAACTCCTTACGACCAGGTACGACCGGCTAAGCGCAGAAGCGCAGACCTCGGCGTCCTCGGTTGCCATGGCAACCAAGTGGTTTAAGAGGTTTCAAGAAGTTTTAGCGCACTCGGTCGAAGTCAGTCGCAAGAGTGTGAACGGGCCTTAAATCTATCAAGTGCTAAGAATGTTAAGCTTATTAAAGCAAACTTTGAAGGGCTTGTTTAGCTGCTTTGCAAGCTCAGATAGCTTGCCGCGCGATAGACAGACTGATTCAGTATAGTCTCTTCGAACAGCGAAATTAGTATGCTTTAGTTGGGACCGGCCGTCACGGTTGGTCGCTTATATCTTCAAAACGAAGTAACTTTACGATTACAGGGCGCACTTTGCCTTCGGTAAAACAACCTAAGCGATGTGACCGTTCAAGATAGGAAAATTCCAGCTGGATGCTCAAATTTTCTAAACAGAAATTAAGAATGTTTTCTTCGGATTTCGCCCATGTTTCATTTTGGGAATCCGGTATTCCAAAAAAAAGTAGGTTTGATCAACGAAGGCGGTTTTCTGCGTCGTCGCAGCTAACTCTCAGTTCGAACATTTCCGAAGGCATGGCATTAAGGGTGTTGTTAGGTGATAGTGGCTGACCAGACATACTTTTCAAAGCTGCGATATCTTGCTCGATGTTAGTAATTCTCCTTTCAATAGTATTACCTCTGCTATCAACAACTCGCTGATCACGCTGTAAAGATGTGATTGGCGCTAGCATATTGGCTTGGCCTGATACAATACGAGCCAGCATTCCCAGAATGGTATTGTATTCAAGGCTGTCAGGGCCAGGGTTAGTCTCGATGTCTCCAGAGATAAAGAGCAAAAAATGGCAGATCATAGCGTGGCATGCACAATTGACAACACATCTTATCATTTTTTTTTTTCGGTACACTGACTAGTCGTAGGGGCACGGCATTACCAAAAGATAGCGATTACTGCTAACTAGCATCCCTGCTGAGGAAACTAACCTGTAGTAGATAAAATGCTGACATAACAGTTCCAGCAGTAACGTCGTGCCCCAACTGGGAGGGGGACCGGGCAGGCTTTTGTAGACTCCGGTGATGTGGGTCACAGGATGTCCCTGGTTGCCAGACGCCGAGGTGGCTGAGTGCCAGGTTTAGCTGACCGAGATGTGGGACGGCTTGTAGTTGCTCCGAAGCCACTTGGTCCGACATCGAAAGAATCCAGGTAGCAGTGTTTCCACGGCTGTCGGTGAATGTCGGCCGGGCGAGTGGGGCCACTGCAAGGGCAACGGCAAGGAGTGCCTGTAGTAGATGGAATGCTGACATGACAGTTCTAGTGGTAACGTCGTGCCCCTATTTGTATGCCACATGCATGCAACAGCTCATTATTGCGAACGGGGGTGCATCCGAGGGCATTATCGCAGTCGTAAATTACCGTGCAGCCGATTGCGAAACAGAAACTTGACATGGATGCCACGTTTCACAGATGAATACAAACTGCTTAGAAGGCGTCATTTTAGTAGACAGACCATTTATTAACGCCAGCGAAGACACGGTCGAACTCGGGTGAAGAAACTCACTGTGGTCACGATTCACTTATGCTCATCCCGCACAGCCCACTGCTACACTTATAAAAAAATAAAAAAAAGTTTGGTGACCGCAGCCTTTTAAAGGGCCCATGAAACGATTTTTGGGTTGGGATAAATCATTTTACATTGGGATTTTTCTAATAGAACATCGTTCAGTGGGCCAAAAGAAAAAAGGTAGAAAGTCAAAAGTCTGACATTCAGTGCGAAAATTTGAAAACACAGCGGACTATTTCGTTCCTTCTCCCCTTCGTAACCGCTCTGCCTTTTCACTGGGATACATCCGCGGTCCCAAAAGCGTGTCATCGGGTCCAAACTGACGTCACACAAAACCGGACCTCATTTAGTCCCTTCACCCCTAAGCTGACATTGTGGTGGAGGCTACGCGCTTGCCGGACCAATCAGCCACCTCCGTTTCATCACCTGACTTCATTTTCTGCAGCCACATTTGCCACGCTTACGTGGCAAAAGTGTGGCTAGCCCAAGGAGCACGTAGCTTCCACAGCACTGTCAGCTTAGGGGTGAACGGGCTAGGGAAAGAAACTTTTGTCTGAGTTTTGAGCGACGGGCTAATCTTCTAGGGGGAGAATGGATGTGTCCGGGGATTACACAAACCAGGTTCCGAGCGAGAGGGGCCTCCCTTCTTTTCGTCTTCTTGAACTGTTTGGTGGAATGCGCGATTTATGAGTTGAGGAGGAAAGCGAAACAAGAAAAAGTTGGAAAAGCGTTTCATGACCCCTTTAACGTCGCTCCACAGAAACCACTGCAAAGAAAAGCCGATGCAGTCACGATGTTGAGGCGCAACCTGAGGCAGACAAAGCAGGCGGCGTACAATGTATGTACAATGCTAAGCCTTACGCCCCATCAAACTGTCGCTGGATTCTCGCAGAACCTATTGCGAATAAAAGTGGACGGGGTTACGACTTAGCGACTTACGCTCGGGTAGGTGAAAAACCGCAGTGAAGAGCAGAGTAATTGCTGCAAGATGCGGGGGTTGTAGAAAATCTGGCCGGGAGCCATGTTGAAAATATTAGTTTGCAAGAACAAGACTGGCGCGCAGGTCGTGACGTCACAGAAACAACGAGACACCAGTGATGGCGGAGGAATACAAGATTTCCTTGGAGAGGCATTTGCCTTTCCAAGGAAACCTTCTTAACTTGTAACCGACTATAGGCCTATTCACTCCATGCGACGACTGTTTTTGAGGGCAGGCAGTGAAAACCCCAGCGAAACGAAAGCACTTTGCATACGCATCGAAGTCGAAGCGGTGCGGTTGGGCAGGTTGACAGCATGAGCTACTGGGTTGTTTGTTGCTCCAATAGTTATGTGTCATGTCTCATGGGGACAAAGTTTCATAGCTTTTTAACTCACCGCCGTTTTGTGGGGCAGCGGCGACAATGGATACGTGTCGTACAATGCAAGAAATTTGGTCTCCCAATCACGTCTGCCACGTATTGGCACGGTTAACTTACCTTACACTGCCGCTTTGCACGCTGTGTTTGCTTTCCTGCCAGTAACACCAACATATATTAGCGTCGATGGGAAGAACTGAAAAACCATTGCATACTCGCGGGTATGTAGTGACCCATTCCTTGGAGGGATGCCCTCCTAGGCGTTTCGTCCCCATCGTACATGTCGATGATCTTTCCAGACTAGTATGGCTCCAGTCTGTCCTTCATGAAGAAAGATTCGGACAGGACAAAAAGTGACAAATATGAATCTAAAGAAAACTTTGATGATGATTGGAATTAGTGTACAATCGACGCTTGAGTATGGCAGTTTAGGTGGTGTGCTTTCTTTTTTTGATCAGCCTCCTTTCACACATGGAAGTTGCCTTTCTTCACATATGTGATTGCCGGCAGACAGTAGGTGACTGCAAAACAAAACACCGGTACTGTTCTTGACCAATTAATGCAAGATAACTGGTTATGTCTAAAAAAAATGAAGAAATTATAATTTTAAAACATCAAATATATCAATTTCAAAATTTAAGTCTAAATCAAATATAAATCAGATGTATACATTATTTCTGTGGTTCTCAAATAGGGGTCCACAAAGGCATTCTGGGGGTCCGCAAAGCTCTGCCTCAGTCAAGCAGGCATTATAAGTTGTCTTTTATCCGATTGAGAAGCATTCCAATCTTAGGTGTTTTCTCGTGTATATGTCAATGAGCGAAGTTACTTCACACCAGCCCTTAGTTATAGCTACTTATTAAATCATTATCATAATTAACCTTAATGCTCCCTCCCCTCACCACGAACGGGGTCCTCCATCATCTCCGCCAATCAACAAAGGGTCTGCGAATCATCACTGCATTATTTAAATCATTTTACCAGAAAAAGTCATGTCTTTCATTAGTCTTTCTGAGCACGGGAAATGGATCCTTCAATCCGCATAATCACTGAAAACAGTGTAAAAAAAAGATTCAAATTTAATTATATCATAAGGTGCAGATTAATTCAACTGTTTTCTTGATATTCGCGACTCCAGCGACCTATAGGGGGCGCCCCCACCAAACAAACATGGCGGCTGAGTCCAGGTCGCGGCGGCTCGGCCGGGCCGCCTGAACAGGGGGCGCGTTCAATTTAACAGATTTTCTTTTGTTTAATGCCCAATTTTATAGGTATTTAAACTGAGACGGTTAAGTGTAGCTGGTGCAGATAAACTTGCAAAGCATAGTTTTGTTTTGCCGGTGTTTTTTTGTTCTTTTCGTGTCAAACTTTCGTTTCGGAGATTTCGTTCAAAACCGAAACTATGGGCTCCGGAGAGACGGTAATATACTAATCAGTTTTGATCATCTAAGGAAAGCGGCGATGACTATAGAACTGTTCCACAGAGAGTAACTTTTCAGCTAACTCGCATGCCTAGACCATGCGACTTATCTGTCCGCGAAATCGAGCTTTTGTGCATATCCGCGTTTACGAAACAGCTCCAGTCGTCTGCTCGGCCAACAACACAGGCTGCAGGAAAATTACTAAAATTAAGCAACCGCTTCTTGAGCCAAGGACCATGTTAACCCGCCGGCGCCCCACTAAGCAGCTGATACTCGTATTTCAATTCAGGTTTTAGTAGCAATCGAGAAGTCATTTTGACGAGCGGGTTATGTATTATATTACGTACTATGGGGGGGGGGGGGGGGGGGGGGGTGTCCTACTAAAGCGATATTAGTATATCCTTCGGGTTGAAATATGAGCTTAGTTAACTAGCTATTAGGTGAGCTGCTGAATAAAAGTATATTTGACAGACGGAGACATACTACTTAAACTTAGCCAAATGGTTCTATAGCCGGCAGCACGGGGACAAACTGAAGAGAATCTTCATTGAAGATCCGCGCAGAACCTCTCTGCATTGAACGGAGAAAATTTGTATTTTTTTGTGGCCGGTCAACCTGACCAATGTAGACATATATTGCTGCTGGCTTCGACGTCCTCGTAATATAAATATTGGAGGCGTGATAAGTCAAAATGCATCTAACGTTGCGAGACTTGTCTCCCACCTTTTGAAAACAGATAATTTCCCTCATTCATCATTTGCAATGAGCAAGTTTTCCTGAATCAAGTAATTGCGAAATAAGCCCAACTCCTTCAGTGTGGTCCAGAGGCTTTTTCGGCGAAAAGCAGCCAAGATGAATAGCCAACGCACCGACCGGCATGGGTGGCTCAAGCTTGAAGCTAACCGAACACAACCAAACTCAGGAAAAGCAGCTATCGAACCTTCCCATTCACTTGACTGCAACATTGATGTTCCCTCCAGCATCAGTTACCAAGCAGTCGCCACTTTGAATGTGATTCGAGACAGACAAGAAATCAAAAAGTTTTTCCGTGATTCCTCTCCATCCAAGAAATCGAAAGCACGCGACCGTGTGCTGTGGAGTAAACGGGCTTTCAAACACGTAATAGAAGAAAACAATCTACTCAGGCTTCACCACACTAATGATCACTCAGGCAAACTTAAGAAATATATGGACCTTCGTCAAATTACATCGCTCGCCACCGCGCCGACAACACGTCTCCGCGAAAGCCACCAGAGACGCGGAGGGGCGCGGAGAGACCTGGACCGGCTGGTTCCCGGTTTTCCCGCTTGGCGGCGTCCGTTTTGCTGGAGTCGCGAATATAAACCACGTCATACTAAAGCAAAAAGAGCTTGATTTGTTTGATTTTTTATTTAAACTTCAGTTGCTGTAATACTGGAACAAAATAAAATACTATATCTCCGCAGTATATTTGAAAATGCGAAGGAAACAGCATCTACCCACCAAATTGTTTTCTATCAGCTTTGCGCACATGGTGCCACTGTTGCCATTGCTTTTGAGGCCAGTTCCAAACAAATTATTAAAGCTCTGCAGCCACACCAAAACAGAAAAGTTAAAAAAAAAAAAATACTCAACTACAGCGACGTAAATGTATGGTCTTTGAACTCAAACACAATTCGAGAGTTGCTTAATGACCATGACTTTATCTTTTGGTTTTAAAGGGCACAAGATGGTGGCATAATTTCATAGAAAAAGTGGCAGGCTCATGTAAGACAAAGCTTACCTATATACTTATACCATACAAGATCAGTTTACATGTGCAATTAGATCTGTCTTTACCTGTCCCTCAGTCAATCCCTTTCACCGGTCTGTGTGCGCACACATACACGCTTTTGTTTGTTTCCTCCAGATTCCGATATGCTTGCACAAGATGCCACTTAAAAAAAGTGGAAGATATGAACAACTCGCCTCTCCAGTTAGCGCAGAAGAGCACCGCATTTTGCTCGTGCTCAGCATGTTATTAATTTTATTTGCCCAATGTTTTTTTATTAAAAACAAAATAAATTTGCATAGACAGCATCAAATTACAGACAAGCATTACTAAAAACTTCTTTATAGTATTAGCTTTGCAGGAAATTATTTTTGTGGAAAGTCGTCACAGTGACATTGGTGTTGCTTAAATCACGATCTAAATCATCTTGACTCTTGTTCTCCACCCTGAACTCAATCATTTGGTGGTAGATTAATTTTACGATGCCCATGCCTTGTTGATTTTGCAAAAAAGTGCAGTGGTTACCCCCCAGAAGCCGGGAATGTTTCTCGTCGGAAGTCAGCATGAGGTGTGATTGATAAAAGTTGTTAACTTTATTTTCTGGGATATATAATCAGCAGAGAACAGCGAAGCGACCCTCTTAACTCTGCCCCAGCCTTCCTAAAACGTCACCCTCAACGTTTCGGCTCAAAGAACCAAAGTTCTGCCCGAGCGCACTTCCACCGCCACGGCTTCGCATGTGAAAAAGCTGCTGAATGTGTCTCACTGCCGAACGTCAGCCCTTCCGCCAGTGGCGCTACACGCGTTTTTTCAAAGTGCCCCCTATTCGCAAACTTCGACTGTCTATAGGTGGCGCCACTCATTTTCCAAAATGACGGTTATAGTGAGTGTCGGAGATATGTGCTGGTATGCTAATTGCTGAGCTTGTCTAGTGTGCTGGCTTCACTGAGTGACACAAATTATCCCCTCTTTTACGAGGAAGCTAGGGCGTCTGGTCCACAGGTCACCTCTTTATCCTGAAGTAAAAAACAATATTTAGCGTAATACTTACACCACGATGCTCGTTTTAATTCAGGAACAAATCCGAAATTAACTTCTATTTTGCATTGAGTTTTTCGATATAGGTGTTAATCTCGGTTTCTTTTCTAATTCAAGGTGTGTCTCACAGCGTAGTTATTAAGCTAAGGATATGGTTTGCGGAAACTTTATTTTGTGACATACGCGCACGATCCAGACACTTCAAAATGTTTCGCAGTGTTCAGCGTCTCTTTAAAGGGACACTGACACCCCCCAAATATTTTTTTCATATTTTGCCAGGCGCTTCATTATGGTGTCGGAGGACCACCCAATTAATATTTTGCAACAGAGTAGCGTATTTTTTTAATAAAGCCAAAAGACGCAACTGGTCGAAACCGAAACCCGACGGAGGTCGGAGAAGTGGAGAGAAGAGAGTGAGTGGCGGAAGTCACGTGGCTCCACCCGACCGTACGGTTTTTTTTTTCTTCTCTCCGGTAGCAGACGACACGACATGCGGCGTACAGGAACTGTTCGCCGAGCGATTCTTTTGCAGTTATGTTTGTTCGGCTCGTTGTTCTGTACTCCAAGATGAGTTGTGTTGTACATTGAGGAGTTGGAGATGTGTAGTGAGTGCCCATGGTGAATTTCCATGATCAGCTCCGAAAAGAATACACCCAAGATGTTGCGTGAAGAGCTGGCTCACATGTCCTGCGTCCGAAAGAAAAGGGGCATTGTGCGACAGAGTTTCCGAAAGATCAACGGGATCGGGACCAATGGCTGGCTGCAATTCCTGTAGAACATATACGGGCACCTCAGAAAGCGGACGCTACCTGATTTATATGCTACTTGCATTTTGTGGAAAGTGATTACATTGAGTTCGCAGGTGTCAAAAAGGAAATCCCATACCATTTAATTCAGTGAAGTGTCGTCCACAACATTTGTTTATTTTTTTGTTAATCTATTCAGTGATAATTGTAAAAAAAAAAAAAAAAGACATGTAAACATCAAAAAAATTTTGAAAAAATAAAAAAAAGGTTTCACGGGGGATCGAACCCGATCCTACCGCGGGGAAAGTAGAGGTCTTTCCCACTGAGCTACTGAAGCATCTCGTTACGTACGGATCTCTTTCCTTAGTAATGATTCAGCCGGTAAACTAAGTTGGAAAGTTTGCTGCCGATTTTCCTTTAGCAAAAGCACTCCCGGGTCGAAGTCGGGAAGCACCACACATTGGCGACAATCGCACCTAGTAAAGAAATCGTATGCGTGCATATTGAACTCGAAGTAGGCACGTCGTGCTTGACGTTTGCGCGAGCGATGTCTTCAGCCACGAGAAGGGAGCGACGGCTCGGCTACGTCTTCGTGCAAATCGGCTTGGTGGTCGGGCGTGTCGTACGGGATGAATGCGAATTCTTTTGATCAGTCCGAAATTTCTCTTTTAAAGGTAGACAGAATTCACCGGTACCGCGAACGACAGTTCTGAATTAGAGGTCCCACGCCCGTCGTCCGCTGCCATCGCCGTCCCCGCGAGTCCCACGATACGCGAAACATGCACGCACAGAATGCTTCCGGTTGTCTGTGGAACTTTTTTTTCGATCAACGTATTTGCAGCTTTTTAGAAGCCACAAAAAATGGGTTTCATATTTTTTTCTATTTTTAATATTGAATGTGTGCCTTCAGTGAGCCACGACTTTGATTAAATTTGGTGGTCGCATCGATACCTTAGAAAACGGCCCGTG